AGGCGCTGCATTGCGATGGCGAAACACGAAAGACCAACATGGCCATGTCTTGGATCGACTTTAAGAAAGAATTTGTTCTAGGACAAAATAAGTGGATTCTGGAATGCTTGGAATTTTATAGCTTCAACGGAAACCTACCGAAGATGTTCAGAACAGCGACGAAAGAGTGATGAATAACACTGCTATTGCGATCAGTTGGGAGTTGTTAGAAAACAGGCGCTGAATCTGATCAGAAGGCGTCGGTCCCAAGCACGGCGCACATACAAATGGCAACGACTGCCTGTACTAGACATCATAGTTTTCATATCTTTACTGTCATCTCCCTTTTCCAGCGCCTGTGAATTCTTTGTTCATCCTCGAGGATCAGTCCGCGTTGACCTGCTGGCTGTACTTGCGACGAAAAGTTCACCCTTGATGTGCGACGTGCAGAGGGCAAGCGTTCCCTCCGTTGTTCTACCTGTTTCCGGCCCTTTGTGGGAGGCAAGAGATTGCTCTTTTGTTCGCTTAAAGCCAGAGGTTGCGTGCGTGGGGAAGGTGTGGGGGGGAGATGGGGTCTGCGTCCAATTGCTTCAACTTCCTTACAGTCAGATGTCCTGGCCGTTGCACTATGCAACAGAGTCTGGCTTGGATCCTTCCGCTTCTAGTTTGTCCGGCATTAAATTAGCTCAGTTATTTGCTGAATAACACATGGAACAGAAGTTGAAGAACTGCATTGTAATGTCACACCTGTAGACCAGGGACGACCAGAAGTTGTATTCAAGACAGGCAAAAGAGTTGGGCAGTCTGATCCAAGATCATGATAACAGGGACAAATGTGCTGTTGTCGAGATTAAGAAGGAAAACACCTGTAAGTACGAACCTACTAATTGGATTAGTAAACAAATAACACAACACAGGTACATCGAGTGAAATACACGAAACGTAACAAGGACAAATATGGCAGCTCGTGCAGGCCTATGGGCGGCAATGAAGCGGTGACTCCCGTAATAAGAAGAAATTGTATATAGGAGCAAATTCATCTTTAGTGACGACTAGTCTTCACCGTGTAACTTCAATGTGATAGCGCATATTGTGTCCCTGTTCGTAT